ACTGATGTATGCAGTCCGATGAGTGTTGAGTCTCGTGGCAGGTATCATTATTTTATGACCTTCACATATGATTTGAGTAAGGTATGGGTATATCTTCTTGATGAAACATAAATCTGAAACATTTGAAAAGTTCAAATAATTTTAGAGTGAAGTGGAAAATCATCATAACAAGAAAATAAAGTTTCTACGATCTGATCGTGGAGGAGAATATTTGAGTTATGAGTTTGGGTTTCATTTGAAACAATGCATAATAGTTTCGCAACTCACACCACCTGGAACACCACATCGTAATGGTGTGTCCGAACATCGTAACCGTACTTTATTAGATATGGTGCAATCGACGAAGTCTCTTATCGATTTACCACTATCGTTTTGGGGTTATGCATTAGAGACAGCTGCATTCACGTTAAATAGGGCACCATCTAAATCCGTTGAGACGACACCATATGAACTGTGGTTTGGCAAGAAACCAAAGTTGTCATTTCTTAAAGTTTGGGGTTGCGTTGCTTATGTGAAAAAGTTTCATCCTGATAATCTCAAATCCAAATCGGAGAAATGTGTCTTCATAGGATACCCAAAGGAGACAGTTGGGTACACCTTCTATCACATATCCTAAGGCAAGACATTCGTTGCTAAGAATGGATCCTTTCTAGAGAAGGAGTTTCTCTTGAAAGAAGTGGGTGGGAGGAAAGTAGAACTTGATGAGGTAACTGTACCTGCTCCCTTATTGGAAAGTAGTTCATCATAGAAATTTGTTCCTGTGACTCCTACACCAATTAGTGAGGAAGCTAATGATGATGATCATGTAACTTCAGATCAAGTTACTACCGAACCTCGTAGGTCAACCAGAGTGAGATCCGCACCAGAGTGGTACGGTAATCCTGTTCTGGATGTCATGTTACTTGACCATGACGAACCTACGAACTATGAGGAAGCGATGATGAGCCCAGATTCTGCGAAATGGCTTGAGGCCATGAAATCTGAGATGGGATCCATGTATGAGAACAAAGTATGCACTTTGATTGACTTGCCCAATGATCGGTGAGTCATTAAGAATAAATGGATCTTCAAGAGGAAGACAGATGCTGATAGTAGTGTTACTATCTACAAAGCTCGAATTGTTGCAAAATGCTTTCGACAAGTTCAAGGTGTTGACTACGATGAGATTTTCTCACTCGTATCGATGCTTAAAAGTCTGTCCGAATCATGTTAGCAGTTTCCGCATTTTATGAAATCTGGCAAATGGATGTCAAAACTGTATTCCTTCAAGGATTTCTTAAAAGAAGAGTTGTATATGATGCAACTAGAAGGTTTTGTCGATCCTAAAGGTGCTAACAAAGTGAGCAAGCTCCATCGATCCATCTATGGACTGGTGCAAGCATCTCGGAGTTGGAATATATGCTTTGATAAAGTGATCAAAGCATATGGTTTTATACAGACTTGCGGTGAAGCCTGTATTTACAAGAAAGTGAGTGGGAGCACTACAACATTTCTGATAAGTATATGTGAATGACATATTGTTGATGAGAAATAATATAGAATTTTCTGGAAAGCATAAAGGAGTGTTTGAAAAGAGTTTTTCAAAGAAAGACCTCAATGAAGCTGCTTACACATTGAGCATCAAGATCTATAGAGATAGATCAAGATGCTTGATAAGTTTTTTCAATGAGTACATACCTTGACAAGATTTTGAAATAGTTCAAAATGGAACAGTCAAAGAAAGAGTTCTTGCCTGTGTTACAAGGTGTGAAACTGAGTAAGACTCAAAGCCCGACCACAACAGAAGATAGAAAGAGAATGAAAGTCATTCCCTATGCCTTGGCCATAGGTTCTATAAAATATGCCATGCTGGGTACCAGATCTATTGTATACCTTAGCATCTTTCTGGCAAGGGAGTACAATAGTGATCTAGGAGTAGATCACTGGACATCGGTCAAAATTATCCTTAGAGGACTAAGGAAATATTTCTCGTTTATGGAGGTGATAAAAGAGTTCGTCATAAAGAGTTACGTCGATGCAAGCTTTTTACATCGATCTAGATGACTCTAAGTCTCGATAGGATATATGTTGAAAGTGGGAGCAATTAGCTAGAGTAGCTCCGTGCAGAGCATTGTAGACATAGAAATTTGCAAAATACATACAAATCTGAATGTTGCAGACCCGTAGGCTAAACTTTTCTCACAAGCAAAACATGATCACTCTTTGGGTGTTAATCACATAGCGATGTGAACTAGATTATTAACTCTGGTAAACCCTTTGGGTATTAGTCACATGGAGATGTGAACTAATCACATAAAGATGTGAACTAGATTATTGACTCTAGTGCAAGTGGGAGACTGAAGGAAATATGCCCTAGAGGCAATAATAAAGTTGTTATTTATATTTCCTTATATCATGATAAATGTTTATTATTCGTGCTAGAATTGTATTAGCCGGAAACTCAGTACATGTGTGAATACATAGACAAATAGAGTGTCACTAGTATGCCTCTACTTGACTAGCTCATTGAATCAAAGATGGTTAAGTTTCCTAGCCATAGACATGAGTTGTCATTTGATTAACGGGATCACATCATTAGAGAATGATGTGATTGACTTGACCCATTCCGTTAGCTTAGCACAATGATCGTTTAGTTTGTTGCTACTGCTTTCTTCATGACTTATACATGTTCCTCTGACTATGAGATTATGCAACTCCCGAATACCGGAGGAACACTTTGTGTGCTACCAAACGTCACAACGTAACTGGGTGATTATAAAGGTGCTCTACAGGTGTCTCCAATGGTACTTGTTGAGTTGGCATAGATCGAGATTAGGATTTGTCACTCCGATTGTCGAAGAAGTATCTCTGGGCCCTCTCGGTAATGCACATCACTATAAGCCTTGCAAGCAATGTGACTAATGAGTTAGTTGCGGGATGATGCATTACGAAACAAGTAAAGAGACTTGCCGGTAACGAGATTGAACTAGGTATTGAGATACCGACGATCGAATCTCGGGCAAGTAACATACCGATGACAAAGGGAACAACGTATACCGTTATGCGGTTTGACCGATAAAGATCTTCGCAGAATATGTAGGAGCCAATATGAGCATCCATGTTCCGCTATTGGTTATTTAATGGAGACATGTCTCGGTCATGTCTACATAGTTCTCGAACCCGTAGGGTCCACACGCTTAACGTTTCGATGACTATCGATATTATGAGTTTATGTGTTTTGATGTACCGAAGGTTGTTCGGGGTCCCGGATGAGATCATGGACATGACGAGGAGTCTCGAAATGTTCGAGACGCAAAGATCGATATATTGGAAGGCTATATTCGGACATCGGAAAGGTTCTGAGTGGTTAAGGTATTTATCAGAGTACCGGAGAGTTAGGGGAATTCGTTGGGGAGTATATGGGCCTTATTGGGCTTTAGGGGAAAGAGAAAGGGGAGGTTGCGCTCCCCCCCCCCAAGGCCTAGTTTGAGTTGGACTAGGGGGAGGGCGGCGCCCCCTCCTTCCTTCTCTTCTCTTTTCCCTTTCCTTCTCTCCTACTCCTACTACATGGAAGGGGGGGGGGTCCTACTCCCGGTGGGAGTAGGACTCCCCAGGGCGCGCCATAGTAGAGGGCCGGCCCTCCCCCTCCCCCACTCATTTATATACGGGGGAGGGGGACACCCCATGGACACACAAGTTGATCAGTTGATCTTCTAGCCGTGTGCGGTGCCCCCCTCCATTATAATCCACCTCGGTTATATCGTAGCGGTGCTTCGGCGAAGCCCTGCATCGGTAGCATCATCATCACCGTCATCACGCCGTCGTGATGACGGAACTCTCCCTCGAAGCTCTGCTGGATCGGAGTTTGTGGGACGTCATCGAGCTGAACGTGTGCTGAACTCGGAGGTGCCATACGTTTGGTACTTGGATCGGTCGGATCATGAAGACGTACGACTACATCAACCGCGTTCTCATAACGCTTCCGCTTACGGTCTAGGAGGGTACGTGGACGACACTCTCCCCTCTCGTTGCTATGCATCACCATGATCTTGCGTGTGCGTAGGAATTTTTTTGAAATTACTGCGTTCCCCAACAGGCGTCTCACCTACGGAGCTCCAGCCGCCGACGGCGGCAGCGGCAACCAGTGATCCCTAACCGTAGCGGAGGCGATCGAGCTCCATCCAAGGAAGGGGAAGACAGCCATTCACCGGCCGGATGGTGTCAGAGGGAAGGGAGGGCAGCGACCAAGTGCCAGTCAGCGACAATGATAGCAACAACTGAAGATTCTTAATCGTAGCAGTGGGGGACGGTCGTCGCCCGTCGAGGCGCTCCTCACCTCCTCCTGTCGATTTGGTTGCACGATTTGATTATCATCCATGGGTCGAAACGGTTGACACAGTTCGGTCTATGTCCAGACCAAACCAAACCAGTCCAACAATAGGTTGAGCCTAAACCAAACTAAATTGATTTAGGGACTTAGCCCATTTCATCGAATCTAAAAGCAACCCAATACGAAAACTGACTTAAATTATGGTTTTAGTCTAAACCATCCCAGGTTTACTTATGACTAACCCTGAACTAACTCTAGCCAAATAGATGTTTGGATAACAGGATTAGATTGTAATAAATGCACTAGAAGAATTAGCTCCAATTAACATCTCTTGAGTGGAATAGTTTTTTTAAGATGAATTAGATGCAACTAGCTCAAACTAATGTTTATATTTAGATACTTTAAGGCTATTTGAGCTCAAACTAGCTCAGACAGAAGCCCACGGATCCGGATACGCCGTGACACGGACTAAATACGATCGAAGATAAGGATAGATAAGAAAAGGGGACGACTGCTGCGCGGAAGAGATTACAACAAGCGAATGCGCCAGAATAATTTCCATACAGAACAGAATGGTGCGAGAAGGATTAACTATTTACAGCACCGACTGCAGATTTCTGCACACTCGAAGTCGAAGGGGGAAAATAGAGGAAGGCTGGACACGAGGCAAGCTTCCCAGTGCAACAATCGATCAAGCCACAGGCACATGCGCGGCCCTCCCCCTCTGCCCACTGGCCCGGCCGGCGGAGACGGCGCAGCTCCGGCTCCTGGCAAACGGCACGCCGGCGCCGGCGAGACCAAAGTCGCACGGCCCGTCCTCGTCGATCTTCGCCATGGCCACGCTCCGGCTCCTGGGCACCGCCGGCGGCCGCTCTGGGGCCGCCCGCCTCTCCGACGCGGCGCGCATGAGCTCCCGCAGGTCGCCGTCGCCGTCGTAGGACCGCGAGGAGGATGAGGGGGAGGCGGAGGCGGAGAAGCTGTGGTAGCCGGCGGCCCTGCTGCACGGCGCAGGGGCGGCGGCGAAGGACGGGTAGCCGAAGGAGGCGTCGGACGGGAATTGGCCCGCGCAGCTGGTGAGGCTCCGCACGTAGAGGTCGCGCGCGCGGCCCAGAGCCCGCCGCGGCGCGCGCCACAGCCAGCTTGCCAGCTTGCCGCCGCCGTTGCTGCCCATTCGGCTCATGCACCGCTGGTTAAGCCCGTCGCTAATTACACTGTTAATACTAGTAGCTTTCTTCTAATTCGAACAAGAGATGGACGGGGAGAAGAGAAGAGATGCAGCTCGCGATTCAGGGGGTTGCTTATATATAGAGAGGGAGAGAGCGAGCAAATGATCGGATTTGCAGATATATGGTCTTTATTTTGCTTTCTATGAGTACTACTAGTAGTACTACTATTCAACGCGATAATAATTGTACAAAATATAATACGAGTACTATATTTATTTCTTCTGTACCATTGTGAGAGACGAGCCCATAGGTGGGTGGCCGGTGATGACCGGGCACTTGACAGGTGCATGTCCCAAGTTGTGATGACTTGTTCACCTCCAGTTTGTCCTGGATCGAATCAGAGCAAGGCTAGCCGGATGGAAGGGCAGGTTCATGTCCATTGCTGGTTGACGGGTCCTCGTCAGAGCCGTGCTGACTGCAATCTCAGCGTTTGCTATGACAGTGCTTCGCATGCCTAAGAAATTCTTCAAAGAAATTGACAAAGTCAGACGACGCTTCCTGTGGGCACAAAAAGACGAGCTATCCGGAGACAAGTGTAAAGTAAATTGGAGTAAGGTATGCACACCTTTGGATAAACAAGGACTTGGCATCCTCAACCTCGAGTGCTTTGGCCGGGCCCTGCGGCTCACTCTGTGCATTTTAAAACCGAACCGAAAAACCATACCGAAAATAAAACCGAACCGAACCGATTTTTTTGTTTTTATGGTTTCTGGTTTCGGTATGGTATGAACTTTTTATACCGATTTGAACTTTGGTTTTTATGGTATATACCGAAAAACCGAATGGTTAACCGAATAAACCGAAGTAAAAGATAAATTTATATTTCTTGAGATGAACAACCGTACAAGTTGTCATTTTTCTTGTACATGAGTCAAATTCACTACTAAGCACCTACATTTTTCTTGTAACATTGTCATTTTTCTCTTTTTAAAATGCTAAGCACGTCCATAACCATCAACAGATGAATTACTTATATATATAGTCATATACTATTTGTGTAAAATAGAATGTGTTTTGAGTCATAAATTTGCAAATTATTATTACGTCATTTTCAAATTCGCGTCAACTTTGGTTTTTATGGTATATACCGAAACCATACCGAAATAATTTGGTATATACCGAAATCGAACCGTATTTTAATTTCATACCGTATTTACCGAAGTATTAATACCGTACATACCGAAAAACCGTATAAACCGAATCATGTAAACCGAATAAACCGAACGCACAGGGCTACCTGCGGCAACGATGGCTATGGCACACCTGGAAACACCCGGACAAGCCATGGGTGGGCATGGAGGTACCGTGCACTGCCTCCGATCGGATGTTCTTCAGCGCGGCCACCTCAGTCACGCTTGGCAACGGACAGACGGCCAGGTTTTGGACCTGCTCCTGGCACCAGGCCGGCGCGCTGCATCTCCTCTTCCCAGACTTATATAAACACTCCAGGAGAAAGAACAGATCGGTTGCTGATGCCATACGCGATGATCGATGGATCCTGGACCTATCGCACGGGCAGACAGATCAGATAGTCCATGACTGCGTCGCCCTGGCAAGACTGTTGCGACTGCTGCCTGTAAACCTCAGTTCAGACACGAGCGACGAGATCCGATGGAACTTGGAGGCCACCGGCTGCTACACTGCTGCTTCGGCGTATCGGGCGCAATTCCAAGCGAACACCACCTCCACATATCCACAGATCATCTGGAAAGCTTGGGCGCCCGGGAAACTGAAGATCTTCTTCTGGTTGTTGCTGCTGAACAGGCTCTGGTGCAACAATCGACTGCAGCGAAGAGGATGGCCCAACACATATTTCTGTCAGTTCTGTTTCAGGAACCTTGAGACGGCCGACCACATCTTCTGGTCCTGCCCTTTCACCATCACAATTTGGAACAACCTCTCGGTTTGGAAGGGCTGTGAAGCACTGAACGCCCAATCCGATCGTCTAGCCCAAAGCAGCACCGATCGGATCACAAGCATTGTCGACGGTACAAAACCGGAGTTCAGAAAGGGCATAAAGTCGCTCATGATGCTTGCAACTTGGGAAATTTGGAGGCACCAGAACGACTGCACTTTCAGAAACAAAGTGGCATTTGCTAGAGAAATTTTGCAGACCATCAGGCGAGGCATTGATCTATGGAGGCAGGCTGGTGCAACATGCCTATTGCACCCATTCACGCTGCCACCAGAAGGGATAGGCTGATTAACCTGCTGTCTTATTTTCCCCTTTGATGTTCCCCTTGTTTTTTCCTTTAATCCTTTTGGTCTTCTGATCATCCCCATGTATTTCTATTTTACCCACTGCTCCCTGCTATGATTAGCATGAAAAGCCAGCTATGCTGGATCTTTCAAAAAAAAAGAGTTGTGATTGCAGGGTAGAGTTAGACACACGCGACGCGTGTACTCCTACATTGCATCAGAGATGCGTGTGGATCCACGTGAGTGCGGCTCCAAGAATTGATGACAATCGTATGAAGAACATGTCATTGACGTTGTGTAGATACCTCACGAATTTTGTGGATTTGATTCCTACTGGGCTCGGTCCAAATGAAAGTTGCTATACGAACTGGATCGCTCCGATGAGCATCCCCTGTCAATATCGACGGGATTCGGACCGCGCACTCTCACCTGATCCAAACTTTCTTTGTGCCCTACTGGATGTCTCAACCTAGCTAGCCAAACCATAGTCACATCACATCACATCTCCCTCTGTTTTATAAACCACAACATCACATCCAACCTGGGACTACAGAAAGATGCAAATGGCGCCACCATTGGCATCAGCTATTTTCATCAACTCATAAGAAGCATCAGATGCCTTTTTTTTAGTTATTATACTGAAGGGGAAGCAAGCATGGGCTGATGTATATGCGACCCTCCAGTTCTTGATTATGAAACACAACACTCGGAACGGATTGTCTCTTACTACTACTTCAGGGTTACTGACATAGAAATTAACTAATATATGCTGGTGTTAGTTTTGCAGAGATCAATGGTCTCACCTGTGCACGGTCCATGGCTGACTTTTGGGAGGAGCAAGCAATCAAAGCTTGCCAGCCTTGCGATTTCATGAACGCGTGGTGGTATGAATTGCGTGGGGACGTAAAATTAAGGGTGCCATATGTACTGCTGATAATAATAGATATAGAGCCTGTTCGGAAATGGTCTGGCTCCTCAGAATCCTCGACTCCGGCTCCTGCTCCCGAAATGCTGCTCCTCGTAAAAAATAGCCCTGGAAAAAAACTGTTCGACAGACAGCTCCGCTCCTTGATTCACTCGTGGCGGGTGGAGGAAACAGAAACGAGCGAGTTGTGTGGCCACTCTGGACCGTTTTCCACTTGGCGGTGGCAGTTCCTTTTTAAATTTTATCAACTCCATGATATTGAAGATCTGAGATCTGAGAATTAGCCGCTCCACAAAACTGCATAGCAGCCCGCTTCACTCCGCGTTTTCAGCTCCGTGGAGCTCGAGCGTTCGGCGCCGCTCCACCAACTCTGGGAGTGGAGTTGAGGAGCAGAGAGAAACCGAACACACCCATAGTGATAGATTTTAGTTGTAGTACTCCCGAAAGTACCTTTCTGCTCCGGAGCTCAAATGAGCTCGGTGAGCAGTAAAAAATCGAAACAAATTTAAAAGAATAAAAAAAATTGGAAGAAACATTGACAAAAGTTCTAAGTGCTTGCAAAAATCTGTCATGGAATCACATTCCTGTAAGGCATGGCAAAAAAACAAATTCATTGCTCCAAAATGCTTTTGAAAGTAGCATTCTTAGAGTACCGGTATTTTTTGCCACACCTTCTAGAAATGTGATTTCAAGATGATTTTTTGCAAGCATTTAAAACTTTTGTCAAATTTTCACCCAAAATTTTTTGGAATTTTTTTAATTTGTTTCGATTTTACTGTTCACCTGAGCTCATTTGAGCTCGGGCGCAGAAACTCTGCGTCCGGTACTCCCTCCATTTTTATTTACTCAGTGTATTAGTTTTGATCAAAGTCAAGCTTTGTAAATTTTGACAAAGTTTATAAACAAAAATATTAAAATATACAATGACAAATCAATACCATTACTTTCATTATTGAATGTACTTTCACATCGTATAGATTTGATATGGTAAATGTTTATATATTTTTTTCTATAAACTAGATCAAACTTTACGAAGTTTAACTTCAGTCAAATCTAATATGCAGAGTAAATAAATTCAGGATTGTGATATATAGAGAACATTTCAATTTTAGAGATAGAGATGAGTGCCTCTCATCATTCACCCACTAGAGTAAAAACTGATCCCATCTATATTTTTATCATTTTAAAATTTTTAATGTTTGTTGCTTAAACCGTCGGTCTGATTTAAAATCCATTTTTGCCATTAAATCCGTCACGGCGAGACATTCGAAACTAGATCCCACATTGATATGTTTGGGCGATTTTTTCTTCGGGAAAAACTTACCAGAATGTAAGTTAGGTCATCTCCAACAGTGTCCCTCAAAACGCCGACATAGGTTCGAAATGAACTGTAGAACGTAGTTTGCCATAATGTGAACCCTTATTTATCTACGGACGCGTCCGCTTGTCTGAATTCCCACATACTGAGGGAGTTCTGCGCGCATCCGGACCTCCACCATGTGGGACTCTGACACCCTCGACCAACTCAAATCCCCCACCTGGACCACTTTTCTTTCACTCTGCCCCTTCTCCCTCTTCCTCTACATTCGCGCCCTGCCCGTTCGACGCAATCGTTGCAATTCTAAGGCCATCGCCCAGGCATTGTCAGACGTCCGCAACCCCCACCCACGCTCCTGCCTTGGACTACGGTACCATCCACTCTGGATCAGGTCGTAGTCAGGTACCCTCTGCCCCTGTCGCCGTTGTTCATATCGGACACCACGCCCAACATGTGTTCGGTCAAATGTCATTGAGTTATTCCTTTTACCTTCTTGTTGTTTCTAGAGTAAG